ACCTCGTATATTATTTTCACTAACGTTGGCACTTGCCGATGTTACTGCTTCTGTCTGCCTTTCAGTTAAAGAAGGATTTCGACGCAAAAAGCTCTTGTACCACCCGTCTCCTGGGAAATTATTTTTAAAGGGCGTTGGGCTAGGATGCTTGTCAAGAAAATTTTTAACACTTGTTTGAATGTCTTCCTTTCTTTGAGGAAAACCTTTTTTCACGGAATCTGATGCCCATTTGACTGAGGTGGAGGTTCGTGAGATATTTTGGAGAATTTTGCACTTTTCCTGAATTGTAAGGTTGATCTAGGAATATTATATTTTTTGGCCACGGCCTTCTTGCTGGCACCATTTTCAATTTCTTCTAAGGCTATTTTAAGAACTTCTTCTGAATATTTTTTCTGGTAGGGCTCTGAGTTTACTACCTTCGGCATTATTCTGTAAAACATTGATTTATTGGCACATATTACACACAATGATTGGCACCGGGCCAACAACTGTCTAGGTCACAAACAAACTTTTTTTTCAGTCATTTCAAGTCATTTTTTGTTTAAAATTTTACATTGATGGCTTTCAACAAGATTGCGCTTTTTAATAAAAATATAACCAAAACCCAGTCATTGACCCCATGGGCCAATCACAATTCTTTTCTATTTTATAAAAGTCAGTTATTGGCACCAAAGAAATTACACCTTCCCGCTTATTTTATCTAGGGTTTTATGTTTATAAAGCCTTCTTTTGCCTCTACCATCAATAGAAATAAATATAATCGTGAATAATCCCGCTCGGAACAATATCTAAATGCTACCAAACTCCTATCGATCCTTAGCAAATTGTGAAAAACTCACCTGATCTTACGAGACCCAACGACACACAGCTCTTTGAACTGACATTAACAAAACTCAATTATATGTTAGGTTGCAGTTTTAACGGTTACTATAGCGACAATGATGTCAGATATTAAAAAAATTATTGTGATGTCAATCGATGTTGTAGAGGCCCTAAATTTAATTATTTTATGAAGAATGTGCCAATAACTCTCGGGGTGCCAACAACTGTAGCGTTTACCCTATGTGGTCAGACCATCTGGTTGGCGGTATTCCCCTATTTCTGTTCGCGTCTTCTCTGGGTTTGCACTCTATTATGACTTCGGTTTTATGGATTTCGCGGTATCTGTACGTTTTTGTGAAAATTGGGGTTTTATCAGATAAGTTTATCTTGTGTCTGATTTGATAGGTGAATGTCAAAGGAATTTTATCGCAATAATAGATATCACGAAATTCTAAACAAAGGTTTCTAATTGCTTTTTGTTCTTCTGTATTGCAATGATTGCGTCTCAGATTTTTTAAATTTGCTTTTAACAAATTATCTTTAGAGATGTCAATTTCATCAGGCTCATTAATTTCCATTTTTTCAATGAAATTTAATTCGCTGGTGTTTAAAAGTTCTACTTCGAAAAGTTTGTTTATTGTTAGACATATGGCATTTTCAGAACTGTTAGTCATGGTGGTAGTTGCGAAGAATTTATTAATGTTTACTACCGCTTGGGGCATTTCAACTTGTTCACTAAATTTTAAATAGTTGACAAGGGCTGTACCATTCGGATATTTCACTGGTATTTTTACAATTTGTTTTGATCTTGCAGAAATTGTAATAGAATAGTTTTTGAAATTCCGGTTTGATTGATGTTCTGATTCGTAAATGACGGGAATTCTTGCGAAGGGAGTAATTAGTATTCTATCATTGACGTTTAATATAGCTTTTAATTCCGTTAATAAGTCAATACCAATTAATCCATAGTATTTATTACTGAAATTGAATACGTAGAATTTGTGTTTTAGATTTGTTTTGCAAATATTGAAGATTGGAATGAAAATTACTTGGTTGTGTCGAGATATCATGTGAGCTGTTTGAATTTGGAATTCTTCATTAAAAATAAATCGTTAATAGAATTTTTCAACGATTTCTTTTGATAGAAGGCTTTTAGAACTTCCAGTGTCAATTAGTAAGTTTGCGTTTATTTCGGGAATGTATATGTGAGGTAGATTAGCTGCAGTTAAATTGCAATTTATCAAGGTTTCTCGGGTGTTATAGGACGCATTGTAAAATTTTCATTCTCAGTGTTTTCATTGTTATCGTACCATTGAGATTGTGTAGAATCATGAAGATAAGATGCTTGTGTGGGCATTTGCAATGAACTAGTTCTGTTATTTCTTTCGAGTTCATCAAAATATGCTTGGTTGTCATAGTCTCTGTTTTCTTCATGATATGGGTCATAGTAATCTTCTATTTCATCTGGGTCAATGAAGGTTTCAGGGTTATTAAAATCAGCATAAACGTTTTGATATTCGGAAACTGATTATTAGGATCATGAAAATTCATTTCGTTACTTTCAACGTTTTGTTGATGGAATTCTGTAAAAGTTGGTTTTTGGAATTTAGATAAACCTGAGGAAGTATCCATTGGTTCGTCAAGTTTACCATGATTTTGTTTGGGCTGTTTCGGATATACAAAGCGATTTGGATTATTCATGAATGGGTTTCTGAATACTTGGCTTTGTCTTGGTGGAAAATTTGGTCTTTGATATGGTTGGGGTTGTCTTTGATGCACAAAGCGATTTGGATTATTCATGAATGGGTTTCTGAATACTTGGCTTTGTCTTGGTTGAAATAGTGGTGATCTGAATTGAAAGTTGGTGTTGAATGGCTTAGGGAAGTTGAAATTGTTGTGGTTTTGTTGTTTGAACGGGTTTGTAAGATTGGGTATTTGGTTATGTTGGTAGTTGATTGGTTTTGGTTGACTGAATTGAGTTGATGGTATCATTCTTTGGTTTGGTTTAAAACATTGTGTATTTAGGGCATTGGCACGATTTTTGCTATAGAGAAAGTTTTCTTCTTCTATAACGAGAGACATAGCTTGTTCTAAACTGTTTGGATCACGGAGTCGGACATTATTTTGTAATTGACCGGTTAATCCACAAATGAAAGTTTTTAATGATAGTTCTTCGTAATTTTGATTTTGATTCGTACTGTTCTTTCTTGTTCGGTTAATTTCAGAGAATCTAGTTTGGAAAAGATCAAAGAACGTGCATCTTGGCATCGCATACCAAAATTATACGGTGTTTCACCTTTAGAAGGTGTTAAAGCTATCAAATCCTGAACAAGGCAATCTAAATTACGTTGGTCACTAAAGCTTAATTGAAGGGTATTTTTAATGTCGTTCCAGGTATGAAGTTTATTAATTCTAGAACCTATTAAACTTAAAGCTCGACCTGTTAATTTCCCAATTATAGAGCGAACAATGAAACTATTATGTAGTTCCTCTCCTTCTCTATAAAACTTGAAATTAGACTAGTGCAATTATTAATAAAAATGGAAAGGGTATGTGGGTTTCCATCAAAAGTAGGAATTGCATCTACATAAAGACGTCGAAGTTGATAATTGATACCTACATTTTCAGGGTTTGCTTGATGATGCATTCTTAATTTGTTAGAATTGCGTTTCGTTTAAAAATTAGAAAGTTAAAATTGTTTGATTATATTCTCAAATTCTTCTTCGGAAGAGGACATGAAATGTTAGAATAAACGAGCAGAAATCACTTTTAACTTGTACTTACAGTGGAAGTATTGCGATTTTCATTCTTGAAGTTTTTCTTTTCTTGCGCCTTAGTTGCTAGTGCCAATAGGTTGTGGGCGATGTAGTCCCTTGGTCCCTGGTCTTCTTACTTCTAGTTGCCAATAGGTTGAGGGCGATGTAGTCCCTTGATCCCTGGTCTTCTTTATCTAAGAAACGTTCATTTCGGTCGAACACGTCCGCGAGCACGATTTCGGAATTTGCCAAATTAATCGTTAAAACGAAACTTTTCACGATTTTTGTTGAGCCGTTTTGACAAATCCTACCGACTGCGCCAATTTTATGCTTTGCCAAGCGCGAAGACTTTTTAAAAAAAACAATTTATTAGATTACGGACTTATTACAAAACTATGTTCGTACACGACAGTTAATTGAATAAAGACAATGTTCGCCGGTTGGCACTACTATATTGTACCGTGGATGAACTCTTTCTTCTGTTTCCAACTTTTATTCAACTCGGTATCACTTTAACTACGGAACAGGAACAAACTAACTTTAAAATTACCGTCAACTTCACAAACAATAACAATAACAGATATATATAGATTCCTTCAGGTAACCCAGATGGTTCTCGAAATCTCCAGAACAGGTGCGAAACTTCCCGCTTGTCAGTGTCATATTTGACTGTAAATGAGAATTATACTGAAATACCATGCATTTTGATCCCCCCATTCCAAACGTGAGTACCCCAGGCCATTTGCGTTACAATATTATTCTCCTATCTCTAATAAAGTTAACTCAGCATAGTGTCATGGGTGTGCTGATCTAGTAGTACTATACAGGGTCATCACTGTGTAGGAATATATAACTTGCGAGACATGTTGTGCAACCAACGCTCCTCGAATAAGGTCAAGAGGTCGAATGATGCAGTAGACGTTTCATTTGCCATTGATGAGTAGATGCTCAATTTGTGAGAATCGCCTTGACGTGGCAGGAGCGTTCTCACAGGACCGGGCCGAAAAAGATACATTCTAGTTGTCATGGATTATTGTACTAAATTATCTGAGTCTTATACCCTCCTCAAGTTAGAGGCTACCGCAGTAGCTACCATCAAATATTATAGACTATAATACGTCCAACTCAATGTTAATTTTGTGGAAACCGTTGGATCAGCGCCATCTACTGGCTTGAGTTGTTTTTTGGATTTGGTTTCCTATTATGTTGCAACACGACAAATTTCGGACAGAACAAAAGAATAAAAATCAACCTTTAATGAAAACTATTTAATTAATGCAACGATTTAAATAACAATTTAATAGAGAGAGAGAGAGAGAGAGAGAGAGAGAGAAAAGGTTTCCCTTGAGCGGGTATTTCGGGCGGTCGTGTGCAAAGCCCGAAGGCTGAGTTCGTTTGAGCGCCACTAGCTTCTGCAGCAAAGCTAGAACACTCAGCGATGGAATGCTGCCAAAATACCTACTCAATTCTTTTACCGTGATAGTACATAAACTGACTTGAATGATGATACAAAAAAAGGAAAATGGTGAGCTTAATAAAGAACAAGAAAACGTGGTTTGACGACTACAAACTACCGTCTGCTAACCGTTTGATCTGTAACCTACGTTAACTGATTAATCAAATGAAAATTTCCAAAAAAATACAAATCGATAATACACAGCCAATACATACCATGCCATACCATACCAGCAAAACCATACTCGCCCCAAACACCAGCAAGTCTCCGAAGTCTCATCCAGACCGTCCCTGGCTATCCCTCTAGGGAACCAGGAGGCGGCTGATGTCGCCGAACGGATGTTCAAGTAGCGGGCAGATCTACCACACAGCAGAATATGGCGGATTCGGAGGTCAAGGTGACGGTGATCGACTATGTTCGGCAATCTCTGGTACTCGATTGCCCTTCG